AATTATAACAATAACCCTTCTTCAAAGAGCATTGGTTGTAATTGGAGCTGAAAGATTCCTTTTTCTAGTGTACAATACACGCCGACTTGATTGTACGAACACCCTGATATTAGTTACAAGGACGATCTAATAGTAATTAATAATGATTAGAATTAGAATTTCGGGTGGATATTTTATTTTACTCGAACAGAGAACAGTCTGATATTGGTTTCTTATCTTATCTACTGGAAAGATACTGACATTTATACAAATAATTTTCAGTAATATGAATTTATAAACTGACATACTAAATACAAGTTTATATTTAACAATAACTTAAGTAGTTCTGATAAATTTCACCTTGTCTAAGTTTAAAAAGCAATTTGCCCCAAGTTTGTGAATAAAGTTCAATTCAAAGAGCAATAGTTTGATATTTATAGGATATTTTTAGTGTCGATAAACACTAATATTATTTGCACCACTGATCAATAAGTAATTGCAAAAATGGAGAATTCTGGGTGAGACTTTTTCATTTTTCTTTCTGAAACACAGTTCAATCATATAGCGAAGTGGTTGATATTAGGAGTGTAAACAGTTAGGTTCAGACCCAGTGGTGTAGAATTTAAGGGTTCGCTGAGAGACCTGAAAGGTCCTAGGTTCGATCTTCGGTGATATCATAGATACGTGTGTCTGAAGAGCCCCATACTAAGGCGAAAAGAATGTCCGATGCCTCATAGTTTTCAAAGTCAATATGTGGTCTAAGCCAATTATAGTTTACGCAAACCCTTATACTATTGATTGAATCACTGTTATTTTTGTAAACGCCGGTCAAAGATTACAGTTTCGATGTGCTCATTACCTTAATTTAGTGTATACATTTAAAGAAGTAAAGAAATCATATTCGCGCTTATTAAAGAAATTTCTTTACTATCAAACACAACTAACCAGAGCTAACACAAGGTTTGCAGATTTTTAGTTTTCACAAACCGAAACCATTTTATTTCTTCTCTCATTTTTGATTAGGACGCTTGATAGCTATATCTATGATTCGGTGCACGTGATATACAGTAGCTGTTTTGACCACTAATCTTTGTATTCAAATCAGCTTGATTATTTCGTTTCAATATTTAAGATATTCTTCTCGATTAAACTTTTCGTCTTTTTTGTTTTTTCAGATTAAATTAATTCTTATCACTCCTTTTGTTTACTGTTAACCACAATGAGATTAAAAGGTAAGTCCAATAAGCGTTAAACCTATGAGTACTCTTACCTAGCTGTATCCAACAGATTTAAGGACTAACCTAAAATATGTGAATAAAATTATTGTTAATTAAAATGAATCCTAATATTCCAAGAATAATTTATAAAGCTACAGAAATAAACCTAACACTATGATATGAATTCATTCATTTCATGGATTTCTTTCAACTGCTTTTGTAATCTAGAAATAATAGTATTCACTGTTGTAAGACATATTTCTATAATTTATATAAACGGAATATACCCAATGAGACATGAATCAAGAAAGATTGGTTCAGTAAAGAGTTCTGTTTTCAGCGAATTCATATTTTCGGCCGTACAATCGCAAATATATATATATCAAAACGTTATCTTTTTTAAATCAGGGAAACTAATAATAGTTTTATTGGTAAAGGCTTTGAAGATGAATTCACCGAAAACAGAACTCTTTGCTGAACCAATCTTTCTTATTTTATAATTTATATCATTTTTATAGAAATATATAGAAGAATTACAAGAATTGTTTGTATTGTTAACTAGTTATAAATTAACTTGGCGGGCGTGTGAATGTAATTAATTTAAAGCAATTCCAATCTGTAACTTTTTCGACTTGATCTAACTCTTGTGTAACATTCTTACAATCTGCTGTTACTGAACATTCCATGTATTCAACAACAAGATAGGAGATCTAGTGCATTTAACATTTAGGAAATGAATTCATCTTTAAGGATATCAAACTATAAGATACTAGATAATTAAATTATATGACATTTAACAGGTTCTAAAAGTATGCAGCTAAATGTTACCATAGCATTCAAACTGACTTACATATAGAGTCTTTTAACATACAAATCACTGTCGGTAAAATGGAGCCAGAAAAACTATGAAGTATAAACTAGAGGGATTTGAAGTTATTGTGCATATGTTTGACTTTCTGACTGACTGATGAAACGAATTGATGATAGAACTAACCACAAAATAATATAACGTCAGTTTACAAACATACTTTTAAACACACCTCTTTATTCAACTTATATACTTTGTTATTTTTAAAAATGCTCTTACGGCTAACCAGCCATCATTGAATGGTTATTGTAAATCGCAACTAAAAGGAAACTAGCAATTCAATCACGTGATTTCATCCGCATAGCATATGAATGTGTAAATAACACATTTAAATATATTTCGCTCACTAGATGTAGACAATCAAAAGTAAACTCAATCATACCAGTGAAACTCGTGATGACTTTGATTGAATTATACACAACTAAAAACACCGAGATTGTAATCATGAATAGAGTAAAAGTGATACCACATATTTATTTGAAATATTTATTCTTATTGTTAACGTTTCGATATTAAATGGTAGCTAAATTACAATTATCAAATGAAATGAATAAGTCACTATAAATGGACTGATAAAATTTAAAACTACGGTTCATTAGAAGTGGTGATTTAAATTCACAGTTTATGTATTATCTAAAGAAACGTTGACTAATCGTTATTATGAAGAGTGTGATTAATGTTGTTTAACTTGCCTATTTATAATCTGTAGTAAAATACTTAATAATAATAAATTCTATAGAGTTGTTTTTAAAAATGTACAATAGTTCAAAGTATCCAGATAGATTTTCATGATGATTTTCAATGACCAGTGTAGAGTCATTATTTTCAAGTCACTATTTAATATGCATTCTCAACAATAAAATAAATAATATCTAACATTGTATGGCATAAAGTAGGAGACAGTTGAATTAGAAACTTAACTACTGTAGTTTTATGTGCTTCAGTAGTGAATAACTTCATCACGAATAAAAGCATATGTTAACCTCAGTTTTCATTTGAATATGGTTGAATTTTAGCTTTCATACTGAAATAATCGGAGATTTTAAACAATTAGCTCAACAAGTTTCATCCCTCCATAAAACAAGTGAGAAACTAAAGTTGAATACACATGGTGTAAGTGAGTGGTTAATACAAATAAAGAAAACTATTAAACATCGTAAAGTAATTGAAAGTTCACTATTAAAATTGAATTCTGTATGAGACTATCTGGCACCAGTCAAAAATTCATAAAAATCTTCATAATTCTCTACTGGATTTCTAAACTTTCAATTCAGGCACTAACTAATCATCATTTCATAACAGAGTAATTGCCTACATTCTAGAGTTATTACTATGCTATCAGGAATAACATATAATAGTATTAACCAATTGAAAAGCTGGTTAACTGAATTTTATTAGACCATTCCATCATACTTACAGTGAATCTTAAATTTAAGTGTTCTTAATAAAAAGATCTTATTGTTACGAAGGTAAATGGAACATGGACTGTTTATCCCAGCAATTTCAATAGTTCGACAATTTCATTCATATAATGGATTTAAAACATAAGTATGCAAGATATATGTGAACTAGAAAGATGATGGACTTTTCACTTAAATATCAAACAAATCATTACATTAATTTACTTAAATTTACTACTCAATTGTAAGATAAATTTGTCGGTGTGAATTGAAAATCAATACAAGACTGAAAACTATATATATCACATAATTAGTGTGTTGATCTGTTCTTTATACAGTAAATAAGTAGCATTATGTAATGCACTAAGTGATCACAAATTAATCTAGACAATAAAAATTGTCTTACAATTTGATAAATTACATTGAAATTATGTAACGTCTGTTGTGATATAAGATTTCTAGTGTAAATTAATTAGTCTACCAATTTATTCATCCAAAACACAATATTTGAGGCTTCCAAATAATTAAAAGTGGGATAACAGGGTATCTTACTAACACCGGTTATTTGGTTGCAACGAAAAAATGTGTATATTTACGACATCTGCATCCCTCATGTTTTTGTCATGTATATTGTTTATCAAGTGTATGCTTGTTTACACGATTCTGAGCTATGCTAAATATGTGAAGTCAAGCGATACTAATTGATTGCTAAACCCGGAGTGGATCGAGGTTCGTATCTGCTACTTAGTGGCTAGCTGAGTGCTGGACGGTTTAACCATTAAGCCATTGTCAAGTTGTTATCCCGAATTGATTTCTTATTTATTTTCATGCTTTATTTAGTAAATTTCAATTTAAAATCAATCTTATCATGTGATAAGAATACACTACCATAAGTAAATAGCCTTATCCAGTTTCCATGGTATCGTTGGCTGACCTTCGAATCCAATCACAATTCTAAATTTATTTTCTCAATAAGAATAACATATTTAATATTACGTTAACTTCATTACCATCTTCAAAAATTATTCTCATCAGTAAAACATAGAGGAGATTATCAATGATCGATTTTTCAAACAATCAGTGGATATTTACTGTTAAATAGCCTTGGCAATATAATAGCTGAAGAGATATCTTAGCTGAACCACTCTCTATTTTTTGTGTGTCCAAATGAGTGTTTCCCACTTATAATGTAGAAAACCCTTAACAAAAATAGACATCATACATATTTGAAATATCTTAGTATAGCTTTTAACTAATAACTAAGACCAATAGTTAAGATTATGAGGCAATCGAAGCTAGACCACCATGAGCTCATGATCTTCACTATTGAAATTACTACAATCTCCACAAAACCCCTTTTGATACTAATGACTGAAACGTTTAATGTATAATCAGTTGGAGTTTTAGCATCACCCATCATCTATCAGAAAGTGATATTCCTAGAACTATCAACAATCTTTAGTATAACTTTAATTCAAATCAAATAATTCCACAAGTAATTGAATAACAAAATGTTTCTTTTTTTAAATTACTTACTCGTTTGGTATTACCAAATCAGCTGATTTCATTTTGAATGCATCACTAACTTCTGGATATTTGTCTTCCTTTATAATTGATTCCTTACGATTTTCATTTGAGTTTGAGGTTTCCTGAGACTCATAGTGTCCATTTACATTATTACTATTATTTACATTTCCTTCAGAATCTGAATCACGATTGCTTAATTGATCAGTTAAATCTACACCGAGATTGCTAACACTCCGATGATGTTTTTGAAGTTGTGCCCCACTAGACGATTCTTGATTAGGTAAATCACCAAGTGAATCTGAGATCTCAATACGATCAGCAAAATCAGCAGGTAAAGCTGCTTTAGCTCGGTCAATACTACGACGTAGACGCTGTGACCTACGTTCAAATGCAGCAGATTGTTTGATAATTAAATCATCGCACTGATCCAGGTACTCTTCGTTATTATTGTTATTATCAACATCATCTTCTTCGTCTTCATCGCATGTATCACAATCATCATCACTGCTAACACGATAGAAAGAACTAACTGGAGTTTTTGCTCGTTTTCTTCTAGGTTGTTGTGGTTGACGTTGATATGAACTATTACTAGGTGTATTTAAATGATCTTGACTATGACTAAAATTTGATTTAGACACATCAATTTCTGTATCCGGAGTTGCATTACCTTTGGAATTAACTGTTCCAACTGTGTGCAGAGATGGGTTTGAATAGCTGTTAGCTATCTTGGAAGCCATCTGAGATTCAACACTCCAAGTTTGTGAATGATTATGGCATAATGGAAGAGTATTTGTTGTTGAACGATCATCAGTTGTAACTACACCATCCAAAAAAATAGCTTGTTCTGAAGTTGACTTATTTTTATGATAAATCTGTGCAGTTTCTTGACCGCGAGCAGATGTGGAACATTTGGCCAATCTTTGTTGAAGACGTTCAAATACACTCATTTCAATTAAGAGGCAACTTCTTGAACATTTGAGTTGGTGATTAATACATCAAAAATAACAGTCTAGAGAGAAGATACAAAAAAAGATAACTAAATAACAAAAGCTTGATTTTTTCCACAATCTTCGAAAACTCATAGAAAGTGATCATAACTAGTTTGAAGTGTTCAAAGTGTTTGTGGTTAAAAACAGTAAAATTCATTATGAGATATTATTTATACTTGATAATTGACTAGCTTTTTAAAAGTGGATTTTGTTAACGTAAAAAACTGATGAGGACTTTTTTTTAAAAAACAAGCAATTTCTTTTTGTAAGCAATGATGGATAGTGGCTAGCAGTGGAATCCAGGACGCGCGTTTCGTCCTATTTGGAACTCTTCAGCTGGATGTACAAGTATTTTCTCCCTTATCATTCACTTAGACTTATATAAATCACTTGAAGAAACGCTTAATATATTTTTAAACAAGGGTCTCAGCTCTATACAAGTCAATTGCCTTAATATTACGAAAACGCTGGTAAACTATAAAGTCTGAAATATGAGAGGATGAGAAATATGCAGAGATTTGAATAGTTCATTTACGATAATGTAAATAACCTGCAACAACACCTAGTGAGAAAATAAGAATATTGAAAAGTACCTTATCTTATTGTAATAACTTGCTGCATGCCCTGAATATCTTTGGGTCATTCCTATTTAGGAGTAGTGGTAGTGTACTGATGAACAACCGTAAGCTGGGTCCACAATATTTCACTAGATGACATCGATTGGCGACGAGTGTTATTTTTTGACAGTTGACTGATATATATATCCTAAAAGGTTCAGCTCCCAAACTAATCAATTTTTGTTTATAACCCTACTCATAACTTTAAAAATACTCGTTCGATGGTTTTCCCAACATATCTCTCATTTGTATGGAACATAAAAAGAATTACTTAAAACCATAGAGAATTTACTTAGTGTAAAAGTTCCAAGCCATTAGAAAGTAAGTTTCAATTAAATTTGAAAAAAAGCTAATGATTGTTCAGGACTACTGAGATGTAGATCTACACTAACTTTTCTACATTTTTTTTTATCACTGTTGTTATTCATTTTACTAATGGGAAGTTCTTTTCTGAAACTTCTTTTTAAAATGCATAAGATAGTACATACATCAAGTTAAATGTGTACAAGTAGTGTTACATACAACTTTTCTATCAACTGACTTAGAGTTACATTATTAATCTATGAAAATAGATCAATCTCCTAATTCATGTGACGATAAAAAAATATTAAATATCAACTAACAAGAAAACTATTAAAGATAGTAATTTGACCATTCTTCCAAAAAAAAAAAAACAAAGTAACTAGAGAAGCGTACAATTAAATTGAATAGTTCATTTCAATTGGTTTTGTAGCACCAAACATGATGAATTAACAGAGTTTGAAAGAACAACACACACCTATAATGTGGTTATAAAATGACACTTGAAATCGTAATTGGTAAATAAAAGAGGTAATATGCAGAAATTATGAGTATTAAGTTGGGACTTATCTAATACTTACTAGCTTCTTGGTTATTCTTTATTCAATGTTAGTGAGATAATATAAACTGTGAATTTTTCAAAATTTCCCCCTTCCCAAAAGAACAATTTGTGAAGTTGGTTTTTGTTGTAAACTGCTTGTCAACCAAGAATTATTGAAAACAGTGATATTTTCAAATAGAAATAAGTTTCATAAACCACTTAACCAGACAAAATTTTAGTGGAAAGTTATGACTAGTAGAGAATAATTACGATAGTTATGGAACAGTTACTCATACACTGAATCGGGTGATTATTGTAATATATCAAGAACAACAAACATATCAGAATAACATGAATTCAGTTTATTCTATGGCTTCACGTTAACCACTCACAGCTTAGAATTAATAGCATTCTTTAAGATTTAACTACTCTAACAAATCTTCTAATTGTTTTATTGTTTATCGCAGTCTTCTTGATTCTCATCGATAGAGACATTTCTGATACTATTATAATATAAACTATGTACAGTATTCTGCTTTGCAAATAATTTATATCAATAATTCTAGATTATAAGCCGCTGAATAAGAAACACAAAATAAGCTGCATTCATGTTATTCTTCTGTGTTCGTTATTTTTGCTTAACTCAAATTTATCAGTAGAAAAAATTGTATGATATAAAGATGAATCGCTTAATGCAAAGTCCTAAAATTGTAGCTACGTACTACTGAGTCGTAGACTAGAAATAAGTGGTTGGTTTTATACTATTTAATTTTCACGGATTTTACATGCGATGGAATTACGTGGTGAAGACTGTCTTCCAAGTGAACTGACTAATGCAGAATATTCACACAAATAAAAATCATCTTATCATGAAGGATAAACTTTCAAAATCCATAAATTTAGAGAATTATTAAGTGGAAGAAATCTTTTTCAAAATCGACCATGAACTAAAGTTACAATGGTTCAACCAGTGAACAGACGCAAAAGTAATCATGAACCTATGGTGCAACAATTTCATTAAACAATAACCAATTGGTTAAACATGGCAATTCATATACGAATTTCGAGTATGGTGTGAGCAAGCAAAACATACACCTTTATGATAAATTAAACTTGGACCAGAGCCAAAATTTGGATGAATTAGGTGGTTCTTAAAAATTCATTTCTGTTGAAAGTTAGTCTCAGTCAAAATGGTTCAACAGAAACATCTTCCACTGCGATACGGAGTACAGTTGCTACTTTAGCATGGTGGTCAAGGTTGCTTCTCGTGGTGGTCTAATTGAGTTATATTGGCTGGGACACTTGTTGCTTTAGGTTCTACCGAATCAGGCAGATCAGTTGAAGAGTGATAGGACTAAAAGCAGCAACTTAAGGTATGGAGGGGAATTTGTACTGCTGACTGTCATGGGGCTGTGAAGTCAGAAAGGTACTTCCGTAAGATAAATAGTATCTGCATTGATGCTGCCTTCTCAAAATATCATACCTCACCTTGGCCCACGGAATTCCGTCGCCGGAGGTGAGGCCTTTGAAGTACGAACCTAACACATCAAGAACTACTAAATAAAAGGCTGTATGACAGATGTTCCTTCGGCTTGGAGTTCAAACTTCTAAGTGGTACTAGTACTCCTAACACAATTTTCGTTTTAGGTAATCCAAGCAGGAGTATCCTTTAATAGTATGGCCGATCGAGAAGCAACAGCCACCAACATACCTCTAACTTCACTCGAGATTATCTTGTTGACTTTACATTTCCTTTGTTACACCTTATTATTTCTTCCATACTTAATGTCAACCCTTTCTAATGCTAAAAACAGTTCCTTTCTCTAATGAAGAACTACAATCTAAAATACATACAAATATTATCTTTCAAACTGTGCTTTACATTCAACAAAGTTTCTAAAAGATGAATTTCTAAATATATAGATAATTTAATACTTAAAACTATTGCTTGGTCCAACTGATCTGTTAAACTTTTGGTATGATTTAAGAAAAAAATGTTTTGAGTCTATCACCATATTGACAATACTGGCAAACAATTAAGAATATTAGGCACACACCAAAGACTTAAATAGCATTATAACAAATTATGTTCACGCACAATACGTTTATTAGAATATTGATTGATCGAATGAAGAGATTACTATGTGTGGCACGTATAGACACACAAACTAATTTATATTATTACACATACTCTACTAAGTAATTTTCTAATATGAAGGAGTTGAAAATGTGCTTAAAAACAGTAAAACGCCGATAATTCAATGAGAAATACTCATTGACAGAACAACAGAAAATATGAGTAAATAATGTCCCTATTGTTTGGGTTGTTGGAAAAGAAATCTTTAGAATCAAGTATGAAATATCGTATAGCGTATATATTCTTTTCTGGACTCAAAATTACTGTTAACAATCTAATAGATGAACAAGCATGTATAATATATCAGACAGTAATAATGAACAAACAAAACTTATTAAGTGTGATAGTCTTGTAGAAATGTTTTATATTTTGTTGAGGGGATTGTTAACACAGAATGATGTAAGTTTGAAACTGTCTTGCAGTGCTTACTTACTACATCATACGAAATTGAAACTAGAACCATCAAACCTTATGGAAAGCATTATAGTTTAGAGCCATTGATTTGAATTTCAGTGGTCCGTATGCCCAGATATACTCAACTTGCGACCTTTATCCAATCTTATCGGTAAGTGACTGCCTTAATACTGACGTGACTGACTCGACAGGCTACAGCTTTTCATTAGAACTTCAGGTAATCCGTTTCAAAGCTAATTACCAGTGAGCACATAATACAATACTGGCCACAAAACATAAAGATCCTTGGGTCGATTTCCACACAAGAGTATCCATTCAATAATATCACGGATAAGAAAGACACCAAAGTCAAGTTTTAACTGGAATTATTCCCCGAAAATTAAGATAATGTTGTACATGAAAACCATTCGAGTAGTCTTGTCTAACTATATACGTATGTTCAAATATGTGATCGATTAACATTCTGAATATATAGAAGTTAGTTCTGATAATAAATCGGAGTCAATTTAAACATTATTGAGAAGCTGAGCTTCCAAGCCGCTTATCTAAGTAATAAAGATGATAAACCATAAAATTGTTAGCAGTTTTAGAAAAATCATTAGTAACCAACCTACACATGGATCTTCAAAAATCGTAAAAAAGCTGTGACCATTATACTTCAATTGTCTCATCTGTAAGATAAATATCACCAGTGGCACTAGATAAAGATAGGGCAACATCACAAGTAGATAAAAGCTGAAAGTAGCATTTAAAGTATCCAGAATTAACAGTCGAATATTTTCGTGCTAGCTTTGAAATCGGAATATCCAGAGATCGATTATTATGTAAATTGTTGTAGAGTCTATAACTAGAACTAAACAGAGATCCAACCCCTCATGCTTTATAACAGTTCCTCAGCTGATAACCATTTAAAGACTATCTTCATACAAAACAAGTCTTCACAAACTACTCATCTGAAGGTCATTTTGTCGAAGGTCATTGCAACAGTGAGGAAACATTTTAGGAAATTCAATAGTTATATTTATCTTTATCTTATCTAACATGGTCCACAATTGACTTTAACCAAATTCTTCAATTTTTTTTAGATTTAAATGATTTAGAAACATTCTAAATTATAATGAGACCTCTCTTGTTCACTATTATTCAGTAATTACCTAAATAATGAAATCATCGACAATCTGAATTATCTGTTGGTAATAGTTACAAAAGAAATCGCTAATACACCTTGACAGTTTATGAAACAGAATGCTTGTGCGATATTCAGGTAGGATACCTGTGTTGGCATTGCTTAATCAATATAAATAGTGATATACGGTAGTCAACTTTGAATTTATTAAATACATCTAAATTAATCAAAGCTTTTTAAATGTTATTACTGGTTGTAATTGATATCTGAGGTCAGGTCTTAAAAATCACTTTTTATTTAACAAGAACTGACTGGTATGGTTTGTTGAAGATAATATAAATGTTACTAACTAAAAAATGTACTCACCTAGTTATATATTTTGCGCGCTATATATAAAAATTCAATTACTTACCATTGAAAGTTGTTTTTTATAAAGATTTCGAAAAAAATGAACTGAAAACAAACTTGATTACATTTATGCAACATATGCTTATTTCTAACGATTCGCTTTTTTGTAGAATGCATATGCAACTTGATGCAAAGATTGAGTATACCTTTTGGTATGTGCAAAGCCGAATAGCTCATCGCCTTAGGAGAAGTAAATATCAGGAGATTCCAGCACTAATCTTAATACCAAACCAGAAATGAAATGGTTTAAACAAGACGAAGTAATAAATAAACCAATAAATTTGAATATATTGGTGATGAAGAAATTATAAAAAAGTGTTAGGTAATCATAACCAATTGTTACACAAAAAACAGTGAAAGAGTATAGAAGGCAAAACCCTAGAAATTTATTTTTCTACTTACTGAGAAATTTCGAACAGATCATTTTTGTTTTGGAAAGTGTTTGATTTGAACCAAGAACATTATCAGCTGATTACAGCGGTGTAAAATTAATTAAAATTGCACATAAGAGATAGTGTTTAAATAACAAAAGTGACACTAATGTTTACATGTACGATACTAAAGCCATTCAATCTATATTCTCAGAACAGAAACCTATAGCTTGTAAAAAGAAAAATCAACAAATTTTTACTTAAAATACTACATATCAGATATATTTAGTTACGCTAACTCAAAGTTTTGTATGTAGCCATACTCTTATCTATGGATATATGATGTTTTCTCTGGCAAGATGTACATTAAAAAGGATTCTTGACTTTGAAGATCTTGTTGTAACAAATTAAGAATTAGAAAATAAGTGTACTTTATGATGAATGCAGCTTGATATAAATATTTATATATCACCTAGTATAATATTGTAAACAAGTGCAGAGATCAACTTGCCGCAACTTCATTCAAAGAATAGTTACTAAAAAGGTATAACGATTCCTTAGTTTCAATTTATCGGTTGTTAATAAACACGACAACAACTATTACTGATCTTGAGTTCCTAATTAAGTGAGAAAATTAAACATGTCAGGCTTTAAATAACAAGCTGTAAAACGTGATTACGGATCCGTAGGTTTGGATGGCTGAGGACTGACATAATTAAAATCGGCACTCAGAGACCTTATTTCGAATATGAAATAAGTGGTAAAGTTTTATGTATTATCGACCAACTTTATCATAGAATGTCTAGAAGCATACGACTTAGTTTTATCATTTTTGCTTTGATAGTATCCAATCACCATACAAGACATTGGTAAACATATTTTTCGAGAAATCAGTAAATATTCCTCTCGGGTGCAGTGGACATTTAAAGCATTACTCCTTAATCTCCAAAAAGTAAATGACAAACAGTCACTTAATGTCTTATTTAATATCATTATTGCTACTTTCTAGGAGTATTATCTCTATATACTTAGCGTATTTATTACGAATGATAGTCACTCACCATTCAACATTCCTAGCATTCGAGGAAATTATTGTTTCTGTTTTGTAATATTGTAAGTATATATGACCTTATTTATGGTTTACATGGTGAACCGACTTTAGCTAAGTAACCAATGAAAACCAGCAAAGACTAGACAATTGTCCCTCCCTAGTATGAAACATTTCAGCAGTGTGCTCCTGAATCCTCCAAAAGTCGAACATGAGACCTTCAAGGCTTGTGGAAATGGCCTAACATCCAGACAACTGAGTTGGCTTTCAACGGTTTGCAATCTTAGCTTCAGACAATTTGAAGGACGAGACAATTCTTCAATGCTTCTTAGTTTTCAGCGGTTATTTAGCAAAAATCAATCCGTGATGTAAACTATAAATTGAATCACTTAGACAAACCTCCTATACTTATGATCCTACTTCCTGTAGCAATTGAACAAATATAGTTGTATGTTTTTCTTGAATTTACAACTGCTTCCTACAATAC